AAGATGTTACTTATTTGTTATCACGTTGATCGTCCTTGTTTTGAAACTCTCGAATTTGGTTTGGGTATGCATCCTGCGTTCATATATAATTTTCTCACAATGTTTTGGCATTGATTTGCGTTTATCGTTAATATTTTAGTTGTTAAATCTCTTATTGTAGTTAAGAATGGCAACGGGGCGGGTTCGGGGCGGGTTTTGCTCCCTCGTCCCCGTCCCGTTCCTCGTCGGGTTTTTTATAGGGGCGCCCCGTCGGGGATTTTTTTGTCCCGTCCCCGAACCCGACCCGATCCTGAGAAAAAATTGAGCAACCGTAGTTTTCATAAAAAAATAGAAAAAACGATCACAAAAAATTGGAAAATTAGTCTACATGATTTACAATTCAAACTACAATCACAAATTCAAATCCAATTCTAAATAATTGTCTAAACTCCAAAATAAAACATATACATAATTAAATACAAATTTGTTCCGATATTCAAATCATACAACGAAGATGCATACGTAATATTAAGTTAAATAAAGTCATCCAAAATCGTCGTGCCACTCTTGTCACTTTCTTTGGTAACTCCCTACATTGAGAAATTTATCAAAAAATCAACCAAATTTCACTTTAATAATCATAAAAACTAGTGTTTAGGGTTTAGGGTTTAATATTTAAATGTTTAGGGTTTAAGGTTTGTATTATATAATTAATATAAAAATATATAATATTATATATATAATTAAAATAAAAAATAAAAAATATTATATATATAATTAATATAAAAATATAAAATATTATATATATATATATGATCAGGGCGGGGCGGGGATACCTTGCCCTGAACCTGAACCCGAAAAAATCCCCGAATTTTACCCCGATACCCGACCCGAACTTAGTTGGGTTTCGGTTTCCCCGTTTGGGTTCGGGTCGTTCTTCCATTCCTAATTGTAGTTTATTTTCCGTAACAGTCAGATCTGTTTGTATCTACCTATTATTTGATTTTTTTGAAATGAGTATTTCCCCTTTTCCTTATATAGTGGTTAGTTTTTTGTGTTAATGGTTATTTGGTAATATCCTAATTATATGTATAATATATAGTTGTAAACAATTTATTGTAATTTTGGATATGTTTGTGTTTTCTTAATAAAATTAGTTGCTTTTATTTATAAAAAAAACAGAAAAGAGATTTCAAATAAAATGTGGGGTGAAGTCAGCTTCTAACACTTAACCAATTTGTTTTGTTTAGTGACTTTTGTGTGCGACGGGGATTCAATCTCAACCTTGGCATGAATGTGGAAACTAATTGGTTTTGTATAATAAGGTGATTTGATTATTGGCCCAAATCCAAGAATGCGCTCCTAGCTTTCTTTTGTTTCGTAAACGTTTGCCGGCCCGCACAAACCATTCCTTACCAATAAAGTTTTAGATATCATTATTTACTTGTATTTGGATCCATTTGATTTTTAAAAAAAATTCTAAGGGTCTGTTTGTTTGGTTGTAATTGGTTTTCCAGAAAATGAATTACTGGAGTTTGAATTACTGGAATTTGAATTACTGGAAAATGAATTACTGGAATTTGAATTCTGGAAAATGAATTACATTTCTGGAAAATGAATTACATTTCTGGAAAACATCTGAAAATCGTTTTATGATGTTTGGAAGATGTTATTTAAACATTTTTTTCACTAGTTGAAGAGTTTTTTAAAAATTATTTATTAAAAATATTAAATATAATAAATAATATTATTTAAACATTATTTATTAAAGTAATAATGCTATATTATATTTTAAAAATATTAATTAGTATATTTTAAATATCTTTACTAAAATATTATTGAAATATATAAATATTATTCATTATTAAAATATAAAAAAAATATATTATTAAAATAAAATAAAATATCTTATATTATTATAATATAATTGATTATTTTATATAATATTAAAAATATAATATAATATTATTATAAATATTAATAAATATATTTTAAATATTTTAATAATTAATATTTTGATGAAAATGATATTAAAATATTTTATTAATATTAAATTCATAAAATAAAATTATTTTGAGTATTTTTGCTTTGAAGTGAAAAGTTCGGAAAATGACTTACGGAAAATGAATCCGTAAGTCATTTTACAGAAAACACAAAGGAAATCCTGTTACTAGGAAAATGAATTACATTCCGGAAAACGAATTACGTGAAACAAACATGGGAAAACGTTTTCCGGAAAACGAATTACGTGAAACAAACACGGGAAAATATTTTTCGGAAAACGAATTACGTGAAACAAGCACCGGAATTCGGGGAAAACTAAATCCGTAATTCGAATTACGGGAAACAAACAGACCCTAAATTCGATTCAATTCAACTCTGAGCTATCTTTTATAAATTTATTCCAAAAATCATTCTTTACGAAATTAAATTAAACTAAAATTTATCAAATTCGAATATTTTAACTAACACTATTCATTCTTTTTACCCTCCAAATCCTGCCATTGCCAAACACCCTTAATCCCCAACACAATTACAAATACAAGATTACTTTTTTCAAATATATATATGAGCTATGACCGTTTCAAAGTTCTTGATTAGTTTTTTTTTTTAAATAAAACAGATTTATTGTATATATTTTTATAAAATAACTTAAATCACATAAATATATTCGTATTAGATATCATACATTTTAATAATACAAGTTATGTTAATTTAAAGTATTAAATAGTTTGTTTATCATTTGTTATACGAACTAATTATGGTTTTCAAAGATATTTTTTTTTTATATTTGTGTCATATATTTTTTAAGCCTTTTCAAAAATACTAGTAGAAATCAATTTCGTTTTAATGGAGCGAACCTTTGTTGTCGTTGTTATAGTTTCGTAGGCTCTATTCTGTAATTTCTTCTTCATCATTTCCTACTGACATAACAATTGAGACAACTAAATTCACTTAATTACGTTTAGCTATTGAATAAGTCAAACGATCGACAAACAAATGTAACCAATTTTATGATGATTATAATAGGTCTATTAACGTACCTAATGTCCTCTCTCATCTCTCTTCCACCTATTCCACATTATCACTTAACACCAAAAATATATTATAAGTAAAAAATTCATCTCCTTTTATTTAAAAGAGAAAACAAATTATATATATAAAAGGACATTTAAGATTTTTTTCTAACTTAAATTTCTCTCAATATTTTTGTATTATCTTTTTCTTTTCTTTTGATGTTTATTTAGTCGACGAAAGCGATAATCTTAGTGTTGATTGTCGACCGTCGATGGTTATTAATCTCTTTTTTTCATATTATATCATTTGTTTTCTTTTTTTCTTAATTTTTTTTTTCAATTTTAAATAAAAATATGTCATTGTGGCAAGTTTTTTTTTTCTCTTGTGGCATGTTCCTTACGAATTATGGTACATTTTGCATATACCTTTGTGATCATTTTGGTGCTCGCACAAGTGACATTTGTTTTCTGATTGATTTATTGTTGATCAAGTATAGCTAGATCACCTCTTTGGTAAAATGTTGTTTGTTGATATAATCAGAATTGTGTAGTAAAACAACCTGCGAGATAGTTTAGTTTGCTCACAATTCGAAAAAGACAATGATTTTTTATGAAATTTATTAGATTTTTTTGATATTGATCGTTATTCTCAAGGAAATTTAAAAAATTTCTTATGATTATTGTCCCCATTTATCTTTTTATGTTTAGGTACGTTATAATTATAATTATAATTATAATCTACAATATTATATAACAATAATTTTTAAAACGTGTTACATATGAATAATTAATCACAGTACAAATATGTCAATTTATAATAATTCAGTGCCCGTGAAAAATACATTGAAACGCTTAGTTTTTTTTTCACGTCTTATTTTTATTATTGGCGAATTGGCATTTTGCAGCTACAACAAAATCTCATAATTTTGTCTCAATCACAAAGACAAAACTTGACTGATAATATGAAGACATTAATTTTATTTTTAAACTGTTTGGGATTTTCTTTTGCTAAAAAATTACAATTTTCTTGTTCCCTTAGCTTTTAGAATTACTATCTTTGACGAATCTATTGATCGTGACACCGCGACAAAAGAATCAATGTGTCGTGTACAGATTTTACAGTAGCATATTATCTTAAATGTACAAGAACAATCACATAGCCATTTGATAAACTAATTCTAATTTAAGACAAAATGTATAATATTTGCCAACGTTCACTAAATTGGAACCCCCCCTCGTTCCTTGTTTCTCTTCAATGAATTATTAACCTAGTTTGAATTTTATTATAATCTATAATCTCCTGCAATTTACCTTCTGTATCGTCATACTTATTGTTGCCTTATATACAAGATATGTCAAATTAAATACTTAAAGCGGAAGTCTCCTTCAGCACAAACTACTTATAATCCTGCAAATTTATATTTTAAACAAGTCAATTATTGTATACTTTATATTATCACTCTCTCTCAAAGTTATATTAAAATGAAACTGCTTTCTGGATTGAGTAAATAAAATTATAATAATTTCTTGGCCAAACACCCTGCCCATGTGATCTTGTTATGTATTTTCTTTCTTTGCAAGGAAGGACCCAAAACATAGAAAGGGAAGATGAATTTTGCAGATAACCTCATCTGCAATATATAAATAAATAAATAAATAAACCCAACAATGAAAGCAACGCAACACTGTAGTGCCAACATGGTTTGGATCATAACCCTTTAATTCTTTTTCTCCCTTGGGTGGAAATGAACTATTTTATTGCCTGGCTTTTGTTATTTTTTTTTTCAGAAATGGGGACCATTGAAATGATAAGTTCCAAATTTTAAACGGAGCCAAAGAAAGGTGACCCCACTACCAAACACTCACACACTTGGCACAAAACCAGACTAGTTCCATTCCCATCTTCCACCAAAGACAGGATCCTAGTGAAACTGAAACCATCTTCTTGGCATTAACTACTGTGGGATCTGAAGTTCACATGAGATGCACAACAACAGGATAGGATTGCACTAAAAGACAACAGTTTCCATTCAACACAATCTGTCAACTATGTTCCCATTACAGGACAAAAAACACTCGGATTCCTACAAAACATGATAATGGTGGAAACTGGTAACAAGTTCAAACAAAAAGTGAAAACGGAAGCATTGAGACAATACATAAAACTTATTTATGAGACAGTAACATTCGATGTAAACCAGTAGCAGGATTATGGGACTTCTTTGTTTTTATTGAAAGCCCATATGAAGACCTGCTAAGCTTGCTATAGCTTCTACCAGCTACATGCATGAAGAAAAATACAATAACCAAGTGAAAAAAAAAAGATTCATTAGCTAGTGCTTGTTTGGAAAGACCTTGGGGGAAGTAAAAGGTAGATCTTCCTGCAAGAAAGTTGCGGTAAGTTTGAGAGAAAACCAGTTTGGACCGGAAATTTGTTACTCAAAACCAGATTGGAACATCCTGCTTAGGCATGGTATCCACCCCAACTGCTTGTAGATCTTCCTTGTAATCAAAAGAAGTCAGATTGAATGGAGAACCAAACATCAACTGGAAGCTGTTGTTGTTATTGTGGTTGGTCTCAAATGGAGAATTCAAAACCTTAAAATGGTCGAATTGGCCTTTCCCTTGCGAAAACATCTGGTGGTTACGAGGCATGCTAGACTCCTCGAAGAAATTTCCATCCATCATTACTCCTTGACCGCTGAAGAAGTCACCTTGTTGTTGTTGCATTTTCGGGTGAAGGAGATTTTGACCTTCTGTTACTGGATTGTTTCCGGGATTCATGTTCTTGCCCTGAATGTTGTTATCATATACTGACATGAGCTCACCGATAATTTTCTGCCCATCTTCCGGAACTCCAAGTCCTGATAGGTCATAGGGTGTTGTAACAGACGTAATAGATGGGGCAGCTGGCTTGGATGGTGCGAAATGTTGAGATAAAATCACCGGTTTCACTTCATTCACGTCAAAATTTGAACCACCAAACTGTGCAGAAGCGTTTCTGTGTGGACAAGTTAATTGATGATTGTCCCTGGCAATCCTGTCATGAAAGCCCAAGCGAAGTTCACTATAAGGGCACTGGAGGAACTCACAAGTGTAGATCTTGTGTTCCATCATGTTAAAATCATCGGATGGTTTCCTCTTTCGCATGAAATCCAAAGTATTGACGACTCCCTTGATAGGATATGATTGTTGTTGAACCGTGCTCATTGTATCCATACCAAAATTAGATGAACTGAGATTCCCGGGTTTAAGCTCATGCACGTCAAAGTTTGGCTCAACTTCAGCCCCTGCAACATCATAATCGCTGCAGTCATTTATAAAAAAAGTGCCACTTCCGCCACCAGAGGAAAGCGGTGGGCAGGAATCAGGGTAAAGCTCCCGAGCCAAAACCTCCTCCTGGTTAATTATAGCAAGCCATGTTGCACTCTCCTTTGCCGTCATCTTGTCCTGCAAGCACTTGGACTGCCTTACAAGCTTGCGAATCTTGGCAATATCAGGAGACATATGCTTGATTACTGCCGTGAGAACCCCAACTTTCCATGCTTTCTTCAAGTCATGAGGTTTCTTATAAGGAGGAGGGCCTTGATCTTTGGGTAATCCAAGTTGTGGCCACCATTCCTCATTGCAAGTAGGCCACCATGGTGGAGGAACACCTTTCTCTAAAGGAAATCGTCTCTGAGGGGGATCACAATGTTGCATCAGTGCAGACAAAAGAGAACCGAGCGTTGTATCTTGAAGTTCTAGTAAGGTGTGTGGCGTCGGGCTGATGGAATTACAGCCATCATTCTTTCCAGGAATCGAATTATACGCCTGGTACTTCGCAATAGCAGCAGGACCATTACGATCAAACCGGACTTTATCCTTCCACCATTCTCGAAGATTGTCAGATGCTCCAGTTACTGGCTTCCCTTTTTCGGGAATAATCCCATAAACAAAACCTTGAGCCTTGCAAACCTCCATCATCTTCAACATGTACTTTAATATCCCATCCTGTGCCCTCGACATCTTCTTTCTCCTCGCTTGTTCTTGGGACTGACGCTGTATGTCGATATCGATCCCCTCCTTGCCCTTATATTGCTCCTTAAGACGTTTGAGACGCATTTTTCCCCTCCACAACCTCCTCTCAAGTTCATCAACATCAACCTCTTCATCAGTATAATCATCCTCTACCGCAACCTCTGCTTCCGTCTGTGATACTGCCACATCTTTTCCCCCAAGGGAAGCACATAAGAAATCCATATCTCCACAAATACTCTTCTCATCGAACATCATCATATTCCAAGATCGGATCGACCCCAACGATAAATCTGAAACTTGAGGGAATCTCAGAGTCAAATTTCTCCAACTACCCTTTCAGCTAGTATCTGCTGGTACACATTTAACTTCAAATCACCAGCCTAACTTAACCTGCACATAAAAATAAATAAATTGGTTAAAACAAACTATGCAAGCGCTGTAAATATCCCTGATAAAATAGCAGCATCGAAAGAGTTAACTGACCAAGCCAAACCCAGAAAAGCATAAACAAAGATTTTGAATTCCCAAAATCTATGCAAAGTAGTCCAAAAATATAAATTTCTCAAAACCCAAAACATTTTAAGTAAATTGAACAGATCAAACTATCCTAAAAGCAATACCAGCTGAAGCATACTCTTCAAGTTATCATTTCATAAGAGAGACAAACAAAAATCTGATCCATAAATCTTAAATCAAGGAACAATCGGACAAAAGTCAGGACACCGACTTCAATAAATAAATAAAATGAAGAATTAACTGGAAAAAATAGAAGCAAGCTCAAATTCATTGGATCTGATACAATAAGTGCCTAAGAGAGTAGAAACCCAAAACATAATCAAAACTTCAATCTATTATATCGATAACAAAATTTAAATTACAAAAAAAGTAGTGAAGCTTTGTTTTTCAAATAAAAAAAATCAACTTTACCAAGCAGAAAGCAAAACCCAAATCAGAAAAAGAAGAGAAAAAAAACACCAACCCAGAAAATGAAACCTCAACTTTATCAACCATTAATGAAAATCCCATCTGGATAAATTGATAACAGGAAACAAAACAGAGCTCAAGGCCTCAAATTTCTAAATCAAAAGTAAATAAAAAAAAGAACCCATATCAGAGTAGTAGAAAACACCATACAAAGTACTAAGATTAAGTAAGATCCACTCAAAAACAAGTCCAAAAAGACTTACCAGAAAAAAGAAAAAGAAAACACAGATTTTGGCTTGCTCCACAAAGATCAAAGAAGTCGATACTGCAACTAAGAGAAGAAGAAGAAGAAGAAGAAGAAACAGATGTATGAGGAGGAAAAGAAAGGAATATTTATCCTTTTCAAGTAGTGTAAGATGGAACTTTTCCGGTACCCCAAACAAGGGAATTATTGGAGGGGAAGAAGTGAAGCGGGTGGCTGCTCCCTGTTTGGTGATTGCGAAAGCAGAGAGAGAGAGTGGGAGGAACTGTTTAAGATTCGCAAAAGCAAAATGTATATTTTACAAAACAAAAAGGTGTAATAAAATCAAGGTATGGGGAAGTGAGACTTTGGATTAAATAGTAAAGAAGATGGAAAGTAAAGTGAAAAAGAGGGAAAATTAAATGAAGTTCAGGTCAGGTTAATCTCATCTCATTCTTGGGATAAACGTTTCTTTTCTTCCATTTCTTTCCTATAATTCATAATAGATTTTCGTGTGAATTAATTAATTACGACACATAAATGAGAAAAAATTGCAGAGGCTGAACCGTGTTTCTTTCGTCCATTATAGGATTTCATTTATGAGTGTCTTAATACGTTTTAATATAATTATTATGTAACAATATTTTTATGAACTTAATGATCTTTTTTATTTTTTAGTTTTTTATTAATATAAATTATAGTTTTAAGGGCTATTTTCACACAGTCGTTATATACTTTATTTTTTTCATTGAAATATTTTTTTATCTTAATCATAATTAATTAATAAAATCTTTATTTTAAGCCTGTGTGGGAAATAGTAATCGAGTCAACTCCTTTCCTTTTCAACTCTCATGAAATGTCGCATATAATAAAAAAATATCATATGTTATGAATTGGTTATTAAATTGATAATATTCTTATAATTTAATACAAAAATATGCTTCGAAATTTTTGGAAATAAATATGGGTTTAAATGAATAGAGCGTTCGGTGAATCATTCATATATTATTCGTTTATGTTTGTTTATTAAATTAAATGAACTAGTATGAACAAAATTTTTATGTTTATGTTCACGAATAAACTCGTTTATAAGTTTGTTTATAAGCTCGTTTATTTTTTTACATTTTAAATATTAGTAAATGTACATACTAAATTAAATATATGATGAAATTTAGAGTTTAAACTATGCATTGTAAGAAGTTTAAGCACTAGTTTTGTAATTTTTCCATTTTCCCTATTTTAACATGAAAACTCCTTTTCATACAATTATATTTTACCTTTTATTATAAACGAACACGAACCTAACATGAGTATCTTAAAACATAAACAAACAAATACGAATATAACTTTATTCCTTCAAATTCAATGAAAACTAAATGAAACTCTGTGAAAACATGAAACTAGAAAATGGTTGGATATATATATATATATAACAAAATTATAAATTATTCCAAAAGTAATATATAAAATAGCTTGCCCACTACTTTCTCCACTTTAGGAGGTGGAGGGAATATTATATAATTTTTTAATCTAATAAACAGTTGTATCAAAACAAAGTTAGGGACATTTGTATTTGTTTGTACTCAAACTTAAATTAATATAAAGTAAAAAATGATTGGACTATAAACAAATTCACACATTATTTAGTAAACAGTATTAGTTTATTCCGTTGCTTATGTTAAAAGGTCATTAATAAATATAATGTTGTGGACTACTATTTGGACACGTAAACCGTATATCCCTCTTGTATTTACTATATTTTATTATTCCCCAACCCAAAGCCCAAGATTAGGCCTAAGCCGATTAGATCCATCAACACGAGCAGCTCCATAAGTTGAATAAATTTGTGTTTAATTTGATTTAAATGTAATTAGTAATGAATATAAATTATAGACTGGGCTTAATGGATGTGATGTTTAATATAAAATTTAAAGATTACAGATCGAGTTTTGTTAAATTAATTGATTGAAATAATGATTCAAAATATTTTATTATTCTTCAAATCAATAGCTCATAATTGGAACCACGTAGATAATAAAGAATTAGCTATGAATATTTAGTTCATTTTAACATAAAACCTCCACCGAATTAATAGATCATACTTGGAACCATAAACAATTGTGAAAGCTATAAATTTAATATCACAATTGAAATTTAGTATAAAGAAGATTGATATGACAACTTTAAATTTAGTATATACACACACGTAGATATTCTTGGACACTTGGTAAGTAATAATAATACTAACTTTTGTATAGTTTGAATAATTCCACCTAATGCCTAATGGTAATAAATTTTCAATTTTCAATTGAAAATTTTGAATAAAATAAATAACTTTATTACTTAAAGCCTTAATATTCAAAATATTAAGTTGATTTTATTTAAGAAAATTAAATGAATCGAGCTTGAATGAATCATGTTGTGTTTGTGTTTGTTTTTTTAAGTGTTCATGTTCATTCCAAGTTTGTTTATATTTTTATATCATGCTTGTGTTCATTCATTTAACGTTCGAGAACATATTTGTTTATATGGTCTCGAACATGTTCGTTTATATGGTCGCAAACATGTTCATTTGCAAGCTCAACAATGATAAAATTTAAGGCTGTAAAAAGCTGACCCGACCTGCAAAACTGACTGAAACTGACTCGAGTCAAAACTGTTTTTGACATGCACTGTGGCGATCCGAAACCGACTCGAGTCGGAACTGATGTTGACCTGAACCCGATATGAACCTGGAAATTGTGGATCCGAACCCGACCTGCATCCGACCTGAACCGAAAATATGATACCCGAACCCGAACTGCATCCGACTGATATGAACCCGAACCCGAGATTGACCTGGTAAATAACTGGTATTACCCGACCTGTTTTCAACCTGACATGTTTTCAACCTGACCTGTTTTTAACCTGACCTGTAAATGATCCAACTTATTAATGATCTAATTTGATATTTACCTGACTTATATATTACCATAGACAAAATTATAAGATTTTAATAAAATTATAAGTTTTTTAGCTTATGATGTAATTAAAATATTAATATGATTATTTTTTAAATGTTATAATAAAATATTTATTATGATAATTATATTAATAAATAGAACTATTATATAAAATAATTTAATAAAATTAATAAAATTATTTAAATGTAAATTAGATAAAACATTATTAATAATGCAAAGAAAAATTAATATAGTTTAATTTATATAAATTATATAGTTTAATTTATATAAAGAAAAAATAATATTATATAAAATAACTTGAGCCTCTATATTAGGAAAATAAAGTAAAAACTATAAAGAAAAGGCCCACAACCCATAATCTAACTTCAACAATGTGAATGAAACTGGGAGACTAAATGACTAACCCAAGTTCATTTTGATTTTAGCTTATCTTGTAAGACAGAAAACTATAAGAAACAAGAGATTGAAGACGAAGAAAAGTGAAAGATTTGAATGATGATTTATAGTTGGAGAAGTGATGAAAAACACACCTTTTAATGCTTACTTTCTATACTGCCACATGTGATACCATAAAAAGAGTAAATGATAGGAATTTTTGGTGTAAAACTTTCATCATATTAGAATTAGATCAAAGAGTTCTCATTGTTCTACCAATTCATATCTATACAAACACATAACATCGAGTCTACCAATTTTATCCACAAGAAAAGACCTCACAAATTGATGGTGTAACCTAATCGACAACGAGGTCTCTCATCAATATTCTAATAAGCCTCAACTGACGAGAAACTATTGGTCCCCCAACTGAGTCATCTCCTACCCTCCTGACAGACTCTTCATCCAATGCAAGAGTTGCTTCTAAAGTTGGAAGCCAGTTGGATTGCTGAAGCCAGTGTCTTAATGAAAGCTACCATGGTACTACAAAACATGTATATATAAAAACATAAAAAAATAGTTTTAACCCACTCAGAAGAAGTACAGAATGGAGTTGTCTGTATTGGTATACAAGCCTCGAAGGCATAACAACAGAGTCAGGGAGGAAGCATGAATAGATGATGCAGTATACTTGAAAAAGAATAGTACTAAATAGTTAAATGGATATAATGGGCATACCCCGTGGACAAGAGTTAATGAGCTATGACTGCCACTTTTATGTGATGATACATAACCATAAACTTACATGGAGTAAGAATGGTAGAGGATTATGCGACCAACAAGCTTTTTCAACACCTGCAATATATTCAAACACAAGGCATCAACATTCAACACAAAAAGAGACTGAACTTTGTGGTAAAAAATTACACCGATTGCTGCACAGACCTCAATTGCACGCCTTTCTCTATGTTGAGCTTGAGCAGGGTCAATCCTGACATTTTAAAAGCCCTAGGCAAAATTCAAGAATAAATTTCGGTAAACGTCAAACAATTTTTTTCATTAAAAATTATACAAGTAGATCTTATTACATTAACCAACATTATTTGGGGCGGGTCGTATCAGTGTTGGGCAATTCATTTTGAGTTGACAACGGTCCTGCAGTTTCAAATACACGGATTTCTCTTCCATGATTCTCTTTTACAGCAGCAAGCTTAGCCTAAAATCAATTCAAGGAAGTAATAAATAAATAAATTGAGTAACAACATCCCGCAATCTGCGTACTACATATCACACAATTTAAGCAGTCTACAATCAAAGTTCTAATGAACGGTTTCAAAAAATATAATTGCATAAAGGAAATCCAAAGTTGTGTCTCTGACACTTATGACAACCATATGACTAATATAAAACACTGTCCGAGAATGTACTTAAAATGCGCTCTTCTTAAGACCAGGATCACAAAGATTCAAATATGATAAATCCGAGTTCTCTCCATACATCTACTTATCTCTTCTACAAACACCAGAGGAATCACAACACGCGGTGGAAGCTAGACTTTAGTAAGATTCAACAACTTCATATGCACGATATTCCTTATATGGGGTACTACAGAAAGCCGCTCAAAGATTCAAACAAAAAAGGGGAAGAAATAGTTTTCCCTTTTTTCTAAGTTCTTATATTAACTTTTTAACGGCAATTTCACCCAAAAAAAGAACTAAAACGGAAGCTACTGAGCAACTTTCATGGATGAGCAAGTATTCTTCAATAAAGATTGCAAAAGAAACCATGATGAAGCTTCATTCCATCAAAATTAAGCTAATAACAGTTATCCTTATTGGAGCTCAACTAGAAATATAATGAACCTAAATTCTCTCCCAAATCATTATGCGGAATACCTAGTGACATCTAACATCAAGAAAAGGAAACAAACCCAGTTGAATAAACAACAATAAGAACCAGACCCATCACATGAATAAAAAATCAGAGTAAAAACCCGGATCAATCCATCACTTAAAATAAGATTATGGTCACCAAATACAAATATTAAATCAAGAAAATTAAAAGGAAGGGACAAACTTTAGCTGATGCAGCATCCATGGAATCAATATTCGTGAATCTTCTCCTCTTCAAAGGCAGTGGCGAATAACCATCTACAATCATCAGCTGCAGATGAAATTTTCCACTTTTCTTCCCTTCTTGTTTGTCCCTTGCTTGTGTAAAAGCTCCTGCTTGGGTTACCTTTAGGAATTACTTTCAAGTATTCATTTCAGTTTTTCTTTTATTTTTGTTAGGTTTGTTTATTTGGCGGTAAATGATGTTGATTTTGGCGCCACAGTTGGCAAGGCTTAAGCGGGAGAAAACCCGCTTGTTTTTTAACTTCATTTGATATTGTAATATTGTCTCTTAGTTTTAAATTTATTCAATTTAGTCCAAATTTAATAATTTAATATATTAATTTAAGCTTCATATTTCAACTTTTTTCAATTTTAATCCAAATTTAATGTTATGATTTATTAATTTAAGCTTCATATTTAAAATTTGTTCAATTTGATCCTTATATTTTTTTAATTCTTTCAATTAATATATATGTTTATATTAATAAATTAATATATAGTTTATATATACTATATAGTTTATATATACTAATGAACTATAAAATATATAGTTTGTATATACCATATACTATATAGGTTATATATACTAATGAACTATATAATATATAGTTTATATATACTATATAGTTTATATATACTAATGAACTATATAATATATAGTTTATATATATATACCATATAGTCTATATATATTATATAGTTTATATATACTAATAAACTATATAATGTATAGTTTAGGGTTTAGGGTTTAGGATTTTTATATATAGTTCATATGTAAATTATACTATATATTATATATATATAATATATATAATATATAAATATAAACTATAGTATATATATATAGGTCATATGTAAACTATATAGTATATAAATATCAACTATAGTATATATATATATATATAGGTCATATGTAAACTATATAGTTTATATATATAGTTCATATGTAAACTATAGTTCATATATAAATATCAACTATAGTTTATATTTAAACTATAGTTAGTATATAAACTATATAGTTTATATGTAAACTATAGTTCATATATATATAGTATATAAATGTAAACTATAGTTTATATAAATAGGATAAAATATAGTATATAAATATAAATTATATTATGTAGTTTATATAAATATAAATATAAACCCTAAATCTTAAACATTAAACCCTAACCCATATATACTATATATATATATATATATATAAACTATATAATTTATATCAATAAACTATATAATTTACACAATATATATTATTTATAATTATACATAATATATAAATATAAATTGTATAGTTTATATATAATTTATATATAAACTATGTAGTTTCTACATAGTTCAATAGTTCATATATAAACTATATAGTATTATAGTTTATACCTGGTATATATAATTTATACTTTATACATAATATATATATATAAACTATATAGTTTATATATATAATACATATACATATACTTTATATTATATATATATATATATATCTATATTAGTTGTTTTAATTTTTTTCTCAACTTATTACTTATTTATATTTATTAATTGGCTCATAACTTTTTAAATGAGTATATTTTAGAACATTTTTTTATTAATTTCAACCTCAAAATTTAAAATTATTTTGATTTGATCCCTTTTGTGTTGTTTAATATGTTTAAATTTTTATTTGTAATTTCATATTTGTTCAATTTAGTCCTCCAAATTTTATTTGCACCTGAAATTGACCCATACTTTTTACTTATTTCTATTTTTAAATTGGCCCATAACTTTTTAAATGGGTATAATTTAGTACTTTTTTTGTATTAATTTTAACCTCAAAATTTAAAATTATTTTGATTTGATCCCTTTTGTGTTGTTTAATATATTTAAATATTTATTTGTAATTTCATATTTGTTCAATTTAGTCCTCCAAATTTTATTTGCATCTAAAATTGACCCATACTTATTACTTATTTCTATTTTTAAATTGGCCCATAACTTTTTAAATGGGTATAATTTAGTACTTTTTTATATTAATTTTAGCCTCAAAATTTAAAATTATTTTGATTTGATCCCTTTTGTGTTGTTTAATATATTTAAATTTTTATTTGTAATTTCATATTTGTTCAATTTAGTCCTCCAAATTTTATTTGCATCTAAAATTGACCCATACTTATTTCTTATTTATATTTTTAAATTGGCCCATAACTTTTTAAATGGGTATAATTTAGTACTTTTTTGTATTAATTTCAACATCACAATTTAAAACTATTTAGATTTGATCCCATCAATGTGTGTTGTTTAATTTATTTAAATTTTTATTTGTAATTTCATATTTGTTTAATTTAATCCTCCAAAATTTATTTGCATATGAAATTGATCCATACTTATTACTTAATTCAATTTTTTAATTGGCCCATAACTTTTTAAATGGGTATAATTTAGTTTTTTTGTATTAATTTCAACCTCACAATTTAAAATTATTTCGATTTGATCCCTCATCAATGTGTGTTGTTTAATTTATTTAAATTTTTATTTGTAATTTCATATTTGTTCAATTTAATTCTTAAATTTGCATTTTTCATAAAATTGAACCATGATTAGTTATATTCTTAGTAATTTACTCTAAATCATATACAATTACAAATTGAAATTCAACGTTTGCGAAAGACGAAAATAATTAAACCAAAAATAAAAATTAACCCGATTTGAACTCAATCCGTATCTGATAGAGATCCGACCTGAATTTTATATGCCAATGATGTGACCCGATCTGAACGAGATCCTCCTGAAGTCAATCCGAACCTGAATTAACCTGCTTTTTAACTGCTTCGGACCTGAACTGTTTTGACTTGAACTGACAACGATCCGAACTGAAAATGACCTGACCTGAACCCGATCTGGATCTGGTGTCAAATCAACCTGAAAATAACCCGAACTGATTTGACCTGACCTGAACCCGATCTGGATCTGGTGTCAAATTTACCTGACTTGACCTGTATCCGATTTTATCCGACCTGCCAGGATCCGACTGAAACCTGAATGATTACCCGATTTTACACCCCTAATAAAATTATATCACACTCATATCAAATACATTGGATTCAAAATATTCAAAATTGTAAAATTTTAATATCACTTCACCAAATTTTGTCACTTCACCTATCTCCATTGCATGTGTATTTGTGTCTCTCTTGATACACGTTCGTCAATTTCTTAGACACGAGGTACAACTCATTTAGTATCATAAAGGAAGCCTATGTGGATGGACTCTATCTTGCTTCCTATTTTCTTATTAATGGCTAATTTACAACCATGAAACATTATTTTTTTTTTCTGCATGGAATGATTTTACGATGTGGTACGTGTTTTGGCTATCCTTTGATGCTCGCTAGTCGCTAATATATAATTTTCTTCTTGGTTAGGATATGGACTCATCTGAGGAAGAAGGAAATAATCCGGAATCTCTTCCTCCTCCGCCACCTTTGCTTACTGATGTGGTTTCGGTCAAAGTAGAATTTGATACTGCTAACAAGAAACTTGCTCAACTACCTATGGCCAGGTATGGTATTGGATCTAAGGGGACAAAGGTCACAAATCATTCTGATAGGAATTTCTTCCATAACTGTGTATGTAATTGATTTCTTTATCTCTATGATTTTATTATCGTGTGATGTTGGTAAACAATAATTATTGATTTATGTTGTTTTTAACCAGGTCTCTCTTTTCTATGAAGATGGTCGCCCAGTTGATGGTAAAGGTGTTGGAAGAAAAGTGATTGACAAAGTGCAGGAGACCTACAGTAGTGAGTTGGCGGGAAAGAACTTTGCATATGACGGGGAAAAGAGTTTATTTACTATCGGTGCTCTCCCAAATAATAAACTCGAGTTCATTGTCGTACTTGAGGATGCTACATCTAAAAGGTAGATTTCACTTTTGGTTGATTCCTAGTATATATACTGCTTCAAGTTGTTATGCCAGGTCTAACTTGTGGTATTTTTATGTTTAGAAACAATGGGAATGCAAGATCTGATGGAAATGGCAACCCAAATGAGCGCCAAAAAAGGAAATTAAAAGTGGAAATAAGCTTTGTTGCAAAGATTCCAATGCAATCAATTCAAAGTGCTCTGCGTGGACAGGAATCTGAGAACTCACACGAAGCACTGAGGGTGCTTGATAACATACTAAGGCAGCATGCTGCTAAACAGTGATATATATATATATATATATATATATATATATATATATATATATTGCAATTTCAGTTTTGAGGCTTGATGTTATATCTATTCTGCCATTGCCTTCACTTTCACAGGGGATGTCTACTTGTTCGCCAGTCTTTCTTTCATGATAACCCGAACAATTTCACAGACATTGGAGGAGGTGTTCTAGGCTGTAGAGGTTTTCATTCAAGTTTCAGAGCCTCTCAAGGAGGCCTGTCAATTAATATTGGTTTGAATCTAATCTCCCAAAGTGCTTATGCTTTTGTTGCTTTATATTTATTGATTAATTACACCTTTTTCATTTTATTTTGTTTAAGATGTATCAACTACAATGATAATTCAACCCGGTGGAGGAGTAGTTGTTTTCTTAATTGCCAATCAGAATGCTAGAGATCCTTTTCTTTCTAGATTGGACCAAAGTAATAAATAGATGTTATTTTGTGAATGTAGATTTTAAAATGTTTGCATCGGTTATTTATTATTTAATAGCAATTACTGGGAATTCTTGAATAGGCTAAAAGAGTCTTCAAGAATCTGCGGATAAGAGTCGGTCCATCCAACCAGGAGGACAAGATTACTAGATTGAGCAATTGTGCAAAGATCATATGTATGATTTTCTAATTTTTTTTATCAGTGTCTTTTCGTTGGTTTTTACTAAAGCATCTTTTATTTTATTTTGTCCTTGTATTTCTTGCACCTCATGAGTGCTTAATTTTTTATTTGATGTGGACTTTCTTCATGATATAGATTTTCTATGAAGCAAAAAGGTTTGAAGAATGAAAATGGTGAAACAAAGGCAGTGGAGATTACTATTTATGATTACTTTGTCAACCATCGTAACATACAGTTACATTATTCTACTGATTTGCCATGGATTAATGTTGGCAAGCGAAAGCGGCCTACATACATTCCCATCGAGGTGATTGTGTGTTAGTGGTTTTCTTTTGTTTTTTTAAATAATAAATGTTCAACAACTAATTCTGGTCTGTGTTTTGTTGTGTATCTGTTTCTAAACACTAGCTTTGTTTTTTGGTGTCCTTGCAACGCTATACGAAAGCTCTAAAGACCTTGCAAAGAGTTTCTCTGGTTGAAAAATCTAGGCAGAAGTCACAAGAAAGGATGAATGCATTATTTAATGTAGGTCTCATTTTGAAGCTTTTGAATCAGAATTTCATTTGTTCTATTACTTGTTCCCCATCGGTGTTGGAAATTCTTGTGCAGGTTTTACGTACCAGTAATTATCGTGCCGAACCAATGCTGTCATCATGTGGTGTTTCTATAAATTCTAATTTCACCCAAGTTGAAGGTTGTGTTCTACCAACCCCAGAGGTAGACTTATAGTTTTTGTCTTTGTGAATTGTTCCCTGATGTTGCATCCATTTGTGTTGCTGCTTTTTTGAGGCTTTTATTTATATTAATGATTGTTCTTTAGATCGATGTACTAATTGGGTTATCTTTTGGTTTCAGTTAAGGGTGGGCAATGGTGATGATTTCTTCCCGAGGAATGGAAGTTGGAAATTTTAATAATAAGGTCATTGCTCTTTGTAATCATGTAGTTTTCTATATTATATTTGTTTTATCATTTTTTCTAATCAGTTCAATTTATGCGTTCATAGAAATTGGTAGAGCCATCGAGGATTGAAAGATGGGCTGTTGCCAACTTCTCTGCTCGTTGTGGTCCAAACAACATTGTGCAAAGTCTGATTCGGTGCGGAGAAATGAAAGGAATCGTATGTCAGCATCCACTTTTATTTGATTGTTAGAGTGTGCTACTTAGTGTAGGTGTAGCATTGTCATTTATAATACTCATCTTGCTAGCTTAGCTTCTTTTGATTCTCCTCTTTTCAGCGAATAGATCATCCATTTGATGTATTTAATGAGATGGGCCAGAATAGACGCCTCCCTCCTGTTGCTAGGGTTGAGAAAATGTTTGATATCATACAGTCCAAACTTTCCGATGCTCCGCAGTTTCTTCTTTGTCTTCTGCCAGATAGGAAAAACGCTCTCTTTGGTGAGCTGAATCTCTTCCATTGATTTGTTGACTTTGCATGTTTTGCTTGGTGTCTTTTCCTTGCATTTAACATTGAATATTTTAAGGTCCGTGGAAACGAAAAAATCTTTCCGAGATTGGCATAGTGACTCAGTGTATGGCACCAATTAAAGTAACTGATCAGTACCCGACGAATCTGCTTCTGAAGATAAATGCAAAGGTTTCTTCTGCTTTCTTTTCAAATGTATATTTTTTTCTATTGCTTTAAGCAGTTCATCCGGTTGCAGTTATAACTTCTGTAACTATATCATTAGGTTTAACAACTTTTTTTGCAAGTAAACCTGCTAACATTTTCAACGTCATACATCTTTATTTGCTCACAGCTTGGAGGTCTAAATTCGATGTTAACCCTTGAGAGATCAATACCTATGGTTTCAAATGTTCCAACTGTCGTAACAGGTTTTTGTCCGGGCACGAATTTTTTACTTGGCGGGAAAAGTGATGTGAATAAATGGTTTTTTTTAAAAATAATTTGGGAGTCGCCATCGGCCTTTTGGATCAGGTAGGTCGAATACCTAAAAATCATCTTTTAAAAGAGTTTTTAACAAAACATCGATTAAAAGATAAACTGATCTGTGTTTTAACCAAAAATTCGTTCTTTTTAATAATAAAAAGGGATTCGTGGTCGGTTACGTTTAGGGAATGATTAGCACCCCTACAACGCCCAAAATTGGTACTTTTTAATTATAAATTGTCTCTATTATTAAAAATTTAAAAATTCAAAGTATATTTAATTTATAATCCTATTATTTCAAAATTATAATTATGGAAAAATATTAATTTATATATTTATAAATAAAATATTTATTTATTTAGAAATATCAGAAAATGACTTCTAGGTGCCTTAAACAACTCTTTTCTTCAATATTAAAAAATAAATATATAATTAAAATAATTAATATATGATTTAAAAAATAGGATATTTATTTATTTAAAAATATCAGAAAATTGACATCTAGTTGTTTTAAGACTGTCCTTTCTTAATATTGAAAAATAAATAAATATATATTAAAATATGATTATTAAAAAAGTAATTTATGAAATATAAGATTTTAACGAATAAAAAAATATTATTTATTATATATATATATTTATTTATATAAATAATAAGAATAATAATAAAAAGTAATAATAATAAAATAATATTGCAAATAATAATTAAAAATATAGTATTAAAATATAAAATATTAAAAAAATAATCAAAAATGAAATTTGAATGATTAAAATAAAATTATAAAACTAGAGTACTAATTCGAAATATATAAAAGATGGGCATTAAAAGTGTAATTTAACTATAATTCATAATACGGGATTAAAATAATAATTAATAAACTATGAGGGACTAAATTTGATATTTACCTAAAAAAATATATATATGCTGATAAGGACTAAATTAAAATAAAATAAAATTAGAAGACTAAATTAAAATAATCAAAAATTGCTTTCAGTGACTAAATTGTAAGGTATACAAATTTGGGGCACTGCGAACGGGGTTTACCCTTTATGAAATTACAGAAATACCCTCCCCCAAAACGACGTCGTTTGGGAGAGGGTATTAATACCCGACGGGCCAGCCTCTCATTTCTTCCTTTCTCTTCTCTCTCAAACAGAGAGAGAGCCAGAGTTCTCTCTGGCTTCTCTCTATTTTCCCCCGCCGGAGGGAATCCGGCAGTCGTCTGCCACCATACACCTCCGCCGCCGGCCACCGTAAATGGTGGCCGGAATTTCCAAAATTTCGCAAAACATAGATCAGACCGTCTTAAAGACGATTCCGGTAACCCTTTTTTTTAAATAGCCCCCGATCGGAGCAGATCTAAGAAGATACCTTCGATTTTCGAAGGTTTTCGGTGACGTGTGAAGGCTCCGGTGACGTGTGAAGGCTCCGGTGAGTTTCTTTCTTCTTTCTTTGTTTTCTGTTTTGGTTCACTACTTGTAGTGGGTTCTCTCTCTTTGTGTGTTGCCGTCGTTCCCTTCGTTCCTTTTGTTGTTTTCGGTTGTTCTTGCTCTGTGTCTGCTTTCTGTCCCTTCCTTCTTTCTTGCAGGTGGGGTGGCTTTTATAGCCACCACAGAGTTCTGTTTGGACCGGTCCTGAGAATGAAACCTCAGTGAGTCACCAAAGCTAGGCTGGTGACTCACTGTAGGGAAGGCTGTTGGTTGCCATATGGCGTTCTGGAGTGTTCCTTGAGGCGGCGACATGGCAGCAAGGCGTCGGCAGCAGCTGGTTGGACCATCTGGCTTGGGAAGTGTTGGCAGAGGCGGCTGTTGGGAGTTCTTGGAGGAGGAGGCGGCGGCAACAGTGCTAGGGTTTATAAACCCTAGCTGAAACCCTAAATATTTAGGGTTTCATTTTGGTCTGGGCCGGTTCTGGTTGTTTGTAACTGGGCCGGTCTAGTTTTCATTGGGCCTGTAATTATTTTTTAATAATAATAATAATATATATAATAATAATAATAATAATAATAAAAAAAAAATGGGTAAAAAAAAATTAGTATCTTCATCTGCCCCTCTTTGCTCATTCTTGTGTTAACAAGAATAGGGCAAAGACGAAAAGATAATAATTTTTTTTATCCATTTGACTTCACTTGATTATAATGGCAATGTTGAATAATTTCTTCTTTGGGATTAGTTCTTCTAATTATGAACTTTTCCACTGGGGATGACAATTTATCTCCTTCTGCGATGTAATCTAGCAAAGATTGAACAAGCTCTTCTCATTGTGAACTTCTTCTTCTTCAGATGAGTTCTTCTCATTGTGAACTCCTTCTGGAAATGTTGATGATGATATATCTCCTTCTGTGATAGAGTCATGCAAAATGTCGAACAAGCTCTTCTCATTATGAACTTCTTCTTCTTTCTTCAGATGAGTTCTTCTCATTATGAACTCTCTCTGGAAAAGTTGATCCATCGAGTGATGAATTCGAGCAAAAAGTTGAACAAATTCTTCTCATTATGAACTTATTCTTCTTTCTTTAGATGAGTTCTTCTCATTATGAACTCGCCCTGGCAATGCTGATCCATTGAATGATGAATTCAAGCGAAAATTTGAACAAGTTCTTCTCATTATGAACTTCTTCTTCCTTCTTCAGATGAGTTCTTCTCATTATGAACTCTTTCACTGGGGATGTTGATCCATCAAATGATGAATTCAAACAAAAGGTTGAACAAATTCTTTTCATTATGAACTTCTTCTTCCTTCTTCAGATGAGTTCTTCTCATTATGAACTTTTTCTGGAAAAGCTGATCCATCAAGTGATGAATTCAAACAAAAGGTTGAACAAATTCTTCTCATTATGAATTTCTTCTTCTTCTTCAGATGAGTTCTTCTCATTATGAACTTTTTCTGGAAAAGCTGATCCATCAAATGATGGATTTGAGCAAAAGGTTGAACAAATTCTTCTCATTATGAATTTCTTCTTCCTTCTTCAGATGAGTTCTTCTCATTATGAACTTTTTCTGGAAAAGCTGATCCATCAAATGATGGATTTGAATCTTTGCTAAAATCTTTGAAATTCCTTCAAAATTCAACATGGATAAAATGAATGAAAATGCACCTATTTTTGCAAATGTCTAAATATGATGCATGAATGTTGATGCAATCTTCATTTGACTTCAAAATGGTGAACTCGGTTTTCCTTCACTTCATCATTTATTGCCTGGGTCACCTCTGGATATCAGTGTAGCAACTTATGCTACCAAGCTTGCATTTCTGAAAAACCATCTGACCAACTTGTATCTTTATGTCTTCTTTGCTTCATGAAAGTCTCTTGAAGAATTGTTTCATTTGTAGAAATCTTGTCGTAGTCAGAACTATGACCTTGATGCCCCATTTTGTCTTAGATAAAACCAACTTTATTTGCTTGGACTTGTGTATAAATCCCATAAAGCTTTCATCTTTGAAAAGAGAATCTATCATCTTTAAAAAGAGAATCTATCATCTTTGAAGAGTGTAGATGTAGATATGCCTGACTCAGCAGGGATTAATTAGGAGAATAGAGTATGTTCTGATTTGACTCTTGAAACACATCACAAGGAAGATTTATTCCAATTCCTTTCATGTCTCCACATCTAATCCAATCTCGAATACGGCAACTTGGACCATATAATGTCGAGATGCTTAACAACAACCTGTCGTTCAATCATAGTTGGCTCCACTAGTTTCTTGTTGTTAAAATTTCTGCTTCCCTTATGTGGAAAGAAATCTTCATTATATCTTACTTCTAATCTTGGGGTTGAAGAAGACAGATTTCATCTTGGATCAATAAATGGAAACCATATGATCGTAACATTGGTTCAGCATCAGAATAGCAGGTTCGTAAAACATTTGACAGCGCATTCATCCTTTCTTGTAGCTTCTGCTCATATGTTCGTAAAACATTTGACAACACATTCATCTTTTCCTGTGGTTTTTGTTCAGATGTTCGTAAAACATTTGACAACACATTCATCTTTTCCTGTGGCTTCTGCCAAGATTTCTCAATCATTGAAGCTCTTTGCCTAGTGTTCAAAGCTTTTGAATGATGTCACAAGACCGTTTGAAAACAAAACTCAATGGGGATTCAAGTGTAATGTTGGTATGACCAAAAAGTTGGTCAAATTCACAAAATGTGAAGGTGTCGAATTGAATAGGAGATACCAACAAATCTTGATATCATCTTTGGAAAAGGCAAATGTGATACTGATCATGCTTTCTTTCATAATGAGCATTGTAGAAAGTAGAAACACTTCAGCTATAGGACCTATGTACAGAAAGATATCCGTAGAATTCTTGTTTATGGGGATGAGACGTACATGATAAAACCAAAATAGATGGAAACTCAGTTCATCTTGGCTAGCAATGATGATCCCAATAACAACGAGAATAACAGTAATATAAGTGAGAGTCGAGTCTCCCTTTCCAATGTCATCAAGTAAGCAAAAACTGATGTGAAAAACAGCTTCATAATCTCAACATTATGGTTGAAACTAACTGCCAGGAATCTCAAAGAAATATTTCCAATCATCACCGACACACAGAATACAAAATTCAAAGCTGAGATCTCGAGGAACTGAACCCTGGATCAAATAGTCTGCCTGGGGACCATCTTTATTCATGCAACCATGATGTAGCTTAACAAAGAACACGCTGTCATGTGATACATGGTTAAGAAGATTGGGTACTTGAAACCATACTTGCTGAGTAGATATTTGTTCAACAACATGATCATAATGTAACTGCCTGATGAACGAAGCAATTATGTATAGTCAGCTTGACTGTCACTGTTTCACCATTTTCATTCTTCATATCTTTCTATCTTATTGGAAATATTTTCTCAAATCAATGATCTTTAACACATGATGATATGGGCCTTCAGCATGTCCCAGCATTTTGCTGATATAAATATTCAGGATACATCAATATTC